GCGCATTTGGATTAATACGGTGTATTGGTTGCGTTTTCTCGGATATGTATCTTGAGTTTATTTGGATACAATTTTTTAATTCGTCCTCAGCTATTACGATATACGTTAATCCTTTTCTATTAACTACTATTATTTCGTTACTTACTTCCGCTTGAGTAAATATATTTTTGTTGTCATAAGTAGGTAATGGGGTTACTTTTATTATATCATACACTGGTTGAGAAATTAACGGGAATCGCAGTTATTTTAATGTATTCCTTTATTGCTAACCATTCGTCGTTTCGGATTTCGAAAGGGAAATATAAACCGTGAGGTAATTGGATAGCTGCTTCTTTTCGCGATGATTACCGTAAAATGTTTGGTTATTTCTTCGCGAGTACTATATTCTCGAACATAATGATTTAATAATTTACCGTTATGGTCTAATATATTTTCTAGTTTATCTAGGTGTACTATTGTACTATTTAAGATTTTTATTTGATTTTTCGCGACATGTTGAAGGGTTTGTTGATTATTCTGTAAGAGATTTAACTGTTCGTTTATTAATTCTCTATCGTCCGCGTCCATTGTACCGAACAATGTTTTCGCTATTGCACCTATTCCGTCGACGAGACCTCTACGTCCGTTCGTCCGTGTCTTATATAGCGTATTTATTAGAGTGATCAATTTTGTTAATTGTTTCGACTCGTTTTTTACGATTTCTTTTAAATTATCGCAAGTACGTTTATCGTGGAATTCCGATTTTATTTGTTCGCACATCTCGTTGGTTTGTTGGATGTATTGGTTTTGTTTGCCATGCTTTATCGTTTAGCGTCGTTATATCTAATTTAATAACTAATTTCCACGTTTTTATGGCTTGGTGCATTTGTCCGATTTTCTCGAAATGTATGCCGGGGTTGTGTAGGAACTCTTGGATTTTGTAAAGTGAATCCGGTTCATGTTGCCCCGTGCGACTCTCGGCCTGTCGGCTGTTCCAACTGACGAGTATCCTGTAATTTCATATTAAAATGTTTCATATAACCGTCTTATCGGTTCTCATTTTATGAGTTTCGCCTTTCTGCTTGCTAGCTTTTAGCGTCGTTTAGTTTTTAATTCAGTCGCGTTTTACTGTGTGTCTTATTAACATGGTTTGCGCGAACTTAGTCGATCGTTCTTGTTATCTTCCTTCTTCGGAGGACGAGATTGACAATACTGGTGATGGTGCAACGTTAGTTATTATTCCTCAAACTGACATGAATATGGTGGATATAGATGGTTTCGACGATGACTTTTGGGTGCTTCGCTATGAGCCTCCTGATGGCTTCATCCCATTATTGCGAAGGCTATGGCTGGATGTGCCTGTACGCCTTCGAGGGCGTGTTTTTCTCAATCATATCCGCGCTACTTTCCGTAACTCCGAAGGGCGAGGTCGGGCTACGGTTGAGCAGATGCGTCGCGCTTTGGATCGGATGCGGTTAACCGGTCGTTCCAACAACGAATAGGTAAGTTTTTTATTTTAATTTTCTATAAATTGCTTTAATTTGTTTGTATGCATGCGCACCGCTTTTCTTCCTTTCTTAATTGTATAATTCACGTCCGAATTTATAGTTATTTGTCGGTTTAGGCGGTCTTGTCAGTGACGTAGGTAGATCCGCTTGGTGCCCGTAGACTAATTCGAAGGGTGTATACCCCGTAGCTGTGTGTGACATCGTATTATATGTGAACATTGCGGTATCCATTCGTCCCAGTCTGTCTGGTCTTCGTTTACGTAGTGTCTTAAATATTCCGCTAATGTTCGATGCGATCGTTCTAACGCGCCATTACTTTCCGGATGATAGGCAGTTGTTTGTATTTTATTTAATTTTAATAATTTACGTGTATTTTTAAATATTTCGCTGAGGAAATTTGTGCCTTGATCCGTTAAAATTTTTTCCGGTATTCCGTGTTCAAGTACAATTTTTGTAACGAATTCTTTACTGACCGTGTTCGCTTCTTGGTTTGGAATCGGTATCGCTTTGCTAAATTTCGTTGAATTGTCTTGGAATGTTAGAAGATATTTATTTCCGTTTGTTGTAACTGTTAGCGGTCCTACAATATTGTTACGTCCTGGCGACTGCACGATTCCTCCCTTCCGCGAAGTTGCGGCAATGATAAGCGATCGGTGATAGAAATGAGTCGTTCGGTAAATAGAGCATCTTGCGTCACACATTCCTTAAACATTTAGTCACTTATCAATATCTATATCTACAAGTAACCGTGTGAAAGACGTGAGAGACCGGTGACGACGCCGCGCCGGTCGCCTAAAAATAAATAAAAACCAGTAGATACCCTCAAAAGGCTATATACGAATCACTAGATACATATTATTTTAGAGATATCCACCGAACCTACTCTCCCTTCGTCGCCAAGATACTCCTCCTCCAGTTACTCCCCCATCTACTTCCCCGACTATATCACTCCAGCGACCGAACCTCCGCTTTCCCCACGTTCCTTCTCCTCACTATCCACCATCCTTTTGAACAATTCACCCCCATCTTCCCCGCAGTGTTCAGAAGCAGATTTTATAAAAGCTATAGAGGAGTTCAGCAATGAACTACCCGACTTAGAATCCGCTTCATCCTACCAAGATTAGAGTAACTAAAATATCTCCCTTCATTCTTCCCCTCCATGACTCCATATTTCTTTTCCCACTCACACACACACACATGTTTGTTTATTTTTTATTTATTTAATTAAATCATCACATTGTATCACCCAATCAGAATCTAAATTTAACAGTAAAATCATTCCATTGCATTTCTGACTGATGTCCTCGTATTAATGTAACACCCGCGAAGAAAAAAGACCACCGAGCGAACGTCTGAATAACCAGCGTAACAGCGACTCAGTCGTTTACCTGCTTTTCAGACCTGTCAGTTCGTTCAGCCCGATTCCAAACGCCACGAGACGTTTAACTTCGGGATAATAAAAGATAGTTGTTGCGCCCTTCCGTCGACTCATCCTTCCCCGAGTCTGAACGTAACAATATCCAACGCGCATTTTTCGAAAGGTTTAGTAGGCGTATCCGTGATTATTAACGGTACTTTATTTTTTCGCGATAGTTTATTTTTCTGGCACAATTCGCATTTTGCAATGTATTTTTCTACATCTTTCGTTATTCCTGGCCAATTATAGTTTAGGCGGATTCTTTTTATCGTTCGTTCAACTCCTTGATGTCCTCCTGTGGGTGCATCATGATATTCATATAATATTTGTTTCTTGTCTTCCACCGTGTATATTTTTTCTTCGTCGGAGTTTGTTTCTTCTTCTATTGCGAGGGTCTCTCGTTCTTCCTTTTCTGTTTCATGCGCTTCTCTTGTTACATTGCGGCTCAGTGCTTCGGCGTTCGCGTTCGCTCGTCCGGCTTTATGGATGATTTCATAATCATATTCTTCGAGTTTTAATCTCCATCGGATCAATCTCGATCCAGGATCGTTCACATTAAATAACCAGATTAATGGTTTGTGATCGGTTACGATTTTAAATTTCGTACCGTATATATATGGCCTAAAATGTTTTATAGCCCATACAATCGCTAATAATTCTTTCTCGGTTGTATTGTAATTCTGCTCCGCCCGCGATAAAACTCTGCTGGCGTAAGCAATTGGCCGGTCGTTACCTACTTTTCATTGTGACAATACTGCTCCGACTGCATAGTCGGAAGCATCAGTGGTCACTATGAATTCTTGATTGAAATCTCGATACGTTAGCACTGGCGCTGTCATTAATCTTTCTTCTAATATTTCGATAGCATTTTGCTGTTTCATAGTCCACTCGAATTTTTCCGTTTTCTTCGTTAATTTTGTCAGTGGCTTGGCTATTTTTGAAAAATCTTCTATGAATTTTCTGTAATATCCGGCTAGTCCTATGAAAGATTGTATATCTTTTACTTTCTTCGGCGTCGGAAATTCCTTTATTGCCGTTAACTTTGACGGATCCGGAGATATTCCATTCTCCGAAATTATGTGACCTAGATAAATTACTTCCTTGCGCAAAAATTCGCATTTATCTGGTTGCAATTTTAGATTATTTTCTCGGAGTCTCTGCAGTACTTCCTTGAGTCTTTTATTGTGGTCCTCTAGGCTCGCTCCATATATGACGATGTCGTCTAAATAAACTAGACATTTAAGTCCTTGCATTCCGGTTAGAATTGAATTCATTAGTCTCTGGAATGTTGCTGGCGCATTTTTCAATCCAAACGGCATTCTATTAAATTCATAGTGTCCGTAGGGCGTTGAAAAAGCTGTCTTTTGTTTATCTTGCTCAGCCATCGGTATCTGATGATATCCTGACGCTAAGTCTAGTGTGGTAAAATATTTAGCGTTTCCTAACTGGTCCAGTATCTCGGTGATATTGGGCAGTGGAAATGAATCGCCTATTGTTAAATCGTTTAGCTTCCGAAAGTCTACTACGCAAAAACTCGCATTTATCTGGTTGCAATTTTAGATTATTTTCTCGGAGTCTCTGCAGTACTTCCTTGTGTCTTTTATTGTGGTCCTCTAGGCTCGCTCCATATATGACGATGTCGTCTAAATAAACTAGACATTTAAGTCCTTGCATTCCGGTTAGAATTGACTTCATTAGTCTCTGGAATATTGCTGGCGCATTTTTCAATACAAACGGCATTCTATTAAATTCATAGTGTCCGTAGGGCGTTGAAAAAGCTGTTTTTTTGTTTATCTTGCTCAGCCATCGGTATCTGATGATATCCTAATGCTAAGTCTAGTGTGGTAAAATATCTAGCGTTTCCTAACAGGTCTAGTATCTCGGTGATATTGGGCAGTGGAAATGAATCGCCTATTGTTAAGTCGTTTAGCTTCCGAAAGTCTACTACTACTCGGAGCTTTGGTTTTCCGGATGCGTCGGCCTTTTTCGGTACCACTAAAGGGTGCGTTCCATTGACTCGCGCTTGTTCGGATTATGCCGTTTTTCAGCATTTCTTGCACTTGTTTATTTACTTCCGTCTTGTGCTTATTGGGAAGACGATACGGTCTCGTGTTCACCGGCGAGGTATCAGCGCGCGTGTTTATCTCGTGCTCTACCGTCGCGGTGCACGTCAGTGGTTCTCCGTCCAACTGAAATGTATCGCAATATTCTTCGCATATCCGTAGGAGTGCCTGTTTTTCTTCCGTATTTAAATGTTGCGTGCGTAGTAGTTGTCAGATTTGTCTCGAGCTAGTAGGCTTAAAATTTTTTCTTGCTTGTATCGTGTATATTTTGGATTCGATTTCGCGTTCTATGTCTTCGAGTGTGACGTTCGGCGTCTGTATCTCGACTTCCGTATCGGTTGTATTTATGATACTAACGGGACACGTGTAATCCTTCGGTTCTACTAAGCAGTTTCCAAGGTAGATTCCTGGAGCTGTTTCCTCTGCTCGTACTATTCCTATCCGATTTTGCTTCGTTATCGCTTTTACGATGGTTTCGCTGCGCGGTTTTAGGATTGTTTTGTTAAACGTATGGAATCTTAGCACGGCTTCTCCTATTTTTAATTGATTTTGATTATAATCACAGGATACCGAATGTTGTTGAAGGAAATCAATTCCTATTATTCCTTCATATTCTATTGGAATGTCGTCTCTTACAACGTAAAATGCATGTTTTACCTTGTGATTTTCTATCTTGATCGTGGCGTACATTTTTCCTATGGTGTGTACTTTATGCCCGGTTATGCCTGTAAGCGCGATTTTACCTTCATGTATTAGTGTGTCATCCTTTAAATGTTTCAATTTTATTAATGAGATGGTCGACCCTGAGTCGTACAACATCTGTATTTTTCCGTCTTTTGCTTGTCGCATTGGTAATGTTATTAGCAATAAATCCGTTTTTTTCTGTGCGCGTGACATATCTTTAATATGTGTAACGCGATACTCAGATGCAGGTCGCGGTTGTTTCTTTCTCGCTTTATCCTGCTCGTCTTCGCTGCTGCTACTTGCGCTATCGGCGTTCCTTTTCTGTTGTCGCGATTTCTTTCGGTCGCGTATATTTTCTTCGCGCGTTTTTTGCTGATTTCCGATTTTTTGTTTATCTGTACTATGTTTCGGTTTTCCGTTTAGGCTCCAGCATTCGTCGCGGCTGTGTCCTGTTCTTTTGCAATGCGAGCAGTATTTACTTATTGCGTTTATTCGCGAGGGTTTTTCCGGTTTCGGGAGCGCATATCGGCTACTTCGACAATCGCGTCCGTAATGTCCGTTTTTTCCGCATTTAAAGCATTGCGGGTTCGAACTTCGACTATTTCGCGAGTAACTTGTTTCGGTTTTATTTTTATTAATAAAACTACTTGTTGACGCTGTTCCCGGTCTGAGTTTTTCTTCGGCGATCGCGCCCGTTATCGCTTCTTGGAGCGTCGTATATCGCTGCGCGCGTGCGAGTACTTGTAATTCGTCCGAGGGTTTTTCCGGTTTCGGGAGCGCATATCGGCTACTTCGACAATCGCGTCCGTAATGTCCGTTTTTTCCGCATTTAAAGCATTGCGGTGTCGGATTTCGACTATTTCGCGAGTAACTTGATTCGGTTTTATTTTTATTAACAAAACTACTTGTTCTCGCTGTTCCCGGTCTGAGTTTTTCTTCGGCGCTCGCGCCCGTTATCGCTTCTTTGAGCGTCGTATATCGCTGCGCGCGTACGAGCACTTGTAATTTGTCGTGTAGCCCGATCTGGTAATTTATTAACGCCTGCTCTTGGATTGTTTGTTGAATTGTGCGTTTTGATGATGCGGAATGCTCTTTTCCTTCAATCATCGAATCGTATAATTTCATCGCTAGTAAATCAACGCGTTGTCAGAAAGCGTGCGCAATTTCATTCGGCTTTTGTTTTAGCGAATTGAATTCAATCTGTAAATGTGTCGTGCTTTGTTTCGACTGGTAACAAGTCTCGAGTTGTTGTTTTAGTTCGTCGAAAGTCTGAATATTTAGTGTTTCGAAAACCTGCATGGCTTTTCCTTTTAGTTTCGTATATAAAATTGCTCGGATTAAAGATTCTTCATCCGCGGGATTTATGTTTTGAACGGCGTACGTGCATGCATTTAAAAATTCTAATAACTTATGTCGCGGAGTTCCGTCAAATTCGGGAATTATTGTTCTTGCTTTTTTTAACGGCAAGTAGTTCGGAGCAATGCTACGTCGGTTTCTGATGCACGGTCGGTTCGCCCGTATGTGGTATTAAACGCGTCATTATCGTTCTCTCGGCGGGGACATCCGTGACGTGGGAAATCCATAATCGCGTCTTCTACTCGCGTTACTCCCCTATTCAATGCCCTTATTTCTGTGCGCATTTCATTTAGTATTTCGAAGAGTTGCGTATCATCTCTTCTTTCCTCGCGATGTGTTTTCGGCGGGTTCGCGGGAGTGCGTTCTTGCGGATTTCGCGATTCGGCCATATTATTTTCCTGTTGGCTATAAATCTCTTTCGGATCGAACAGATCGCTCTCGTAGGAAGTTAGCGAAAATTCGCGCCCTAAAAATACTCTACTTGGAGTTCTGCTAATGTACGGTCGCTTACGTCTAGTCTCGCGTTGAGCGTTGTCAGTGAGGTCAGTCGTATTACGCGGGAGTAGGCTTTCGTCCAAATTGTTAAATGGAAATTCGCGTTCTGTGACGACGTTTTCCGGTAACTCGGGCTCGCTTTCGCTCGAGTATTGCGTTTCTAAGTTTTTCCGCACGTTATAAAGATTTTCTCGCGGTGTTAAGCTTAATTCAATCGCTCGTCGGGCTGGTTTGCTCAGTAACCACGATCGGTTCGCTATCTGTTTCGGTATATTCGAACCTTCCGACATTCACGCAGTTATAATTATTAAATTTTTTCGGACTTACAATATTATGACGACTCGCATGATCGCTCGCTGTTTCAGTAGGTCGCTGACGCTGCAGTCCTTCGCTCGGCGGCTGATAAGGCTGACGATATTCGTCGTACGGCGGTCGTTGTCCGGCGTCGGTGCGTTGTTCGTAGAGTTATCGTAGGTCGCGATGCTTGGCGGCTCGCGTTTCTGCTACAGCTGTTGTGGCGATGCTCGTTCTGTTGTCCTTGCGTTGTCTTCCGTCGATTGTGGTTTCCGTCAGCTTACGTTTTACGTGTGCTGGCGTGCCTGCCCTGTTTACACTCGGGGTGCTTTGCAGGTCTTGGAGAAGGCTTGGCTGCTTCCGTTCGTCAACTTTAATTCGATTGGTTGCTGGCGTGCCCGTTTTTGAATACAGTTGTGTCTTTTTCAGGTCTTAGCGGGATGAGCTCGCTGACGTCCTTTGGCAGATCCCACCGCTGCCACCAAATTATGTTATGCCTCCGGAGAGGCACGGTAGTTAGGATCGTTTGCCGGAAGGAATTTGGGAATTCGGGCTCCGCCCGAGTAGTTCACTGAATTTATTATAATTAAAAATGACACTTTCGTATTCTGAATAAATGTATATATAACTATTTTATTCGTACTTGGTTTAATTACAAAGTCTTCGCACGTCTCTCGCGTCGCGTATCGCGATATCGGATATCTTGGCGTGGCGTGTTCGGTCGCAAGACTCACTTCTCGATCTTCCGTATTTCTTTCTGCCGACTGCGTGGCGTTAATTTAATAGTTTCCCGTAACAAGCGTTATTGACTGCCCGCGTAATGTTAATTAATGATAAAGACTGCCCGCCGCTCGTTAGCGATGGGTCTTTTTATTATCTCCCCTTGGTTTTCCAGAAGGGGGTCGTTTAGCGACAAGGCCATGTGTCGCTCGATTTTGACGGCAAGATCCGGGTGCAAGTTAAGGAGTTTTAAGTAGGACTTCTTTCCTTGCATTTTCGCAATTTCCGTATTCCGCTTCTAAGTAGGATTTCTTTGGTTGCATTTTCGCAATTTCCTTATTCCGCTTGCCCTGATTTCCGCGTTTTCGCAATGAAGTGATTGCGCGGTCGCTCCGGCTTCGCGCGTGGCTCGCGTTGTCAGCGCTTCGCTCGGTTAACGTTCGTAACGTGATCTGTATTCGCGTTACATGTTGAGCAATGTCTTATCGTATAAAATAATATATCTCCAAAATAATATGTATCTAGTAATTCGTATATAGCCTTTTTGGGCTATAACACTATTATATTGTGTGGAATTGCATATACTGCAAGCGAATAGGAAAATTCGACGGCCGAACATGTGCGAGCGGCAAACGTTTTCGCTCAGTCCTGTTCGTAGCCTGCCCCTATGCACAAACTTACACGTACACGCGGGCGTATCCCGTTTGGACACGGAACGATTGGGCATTGCTCGATTGCACACGCATTATTGGACACGTTTTATTGGACATTGCTCGATGGACACGACACATAGTCCTGCCGCTAAACGATCTCCTCCCGGGAAACCAAAGGGAGATAATAAAAAAACCCATCGCTAACGAGCGGCGGGCAGTCTTAATAATTAATTTGTATCGAGCGGGCAGTCAATAACGCTAATTACGGGCAACTATTAAATTAAAGCCACGCAGTCGACAGAAATAAATACAAAAGATCGAGGAGTGAATCTCGCGACCGAAACTCGACTCCAGACACGCGCACGCCAAGATATTCGCTATCGCGATACGCGACGCGAACTAACGTGCGGGAACTTTGTAATTAAGCCAATTTGTGAATAAAATAAATATATATATATATTTTTTCATTCCGACTACAAGAGTGTCATTGTCAACTACATTAAAATCATTGAGTCTCTTGGGCGGAGTCTGAATTCTCAAATTCTTTCCGGCAAACGATCCTAACTACCGTGCCTCTCCGGAGGCATAACATTATTTGGTGGCAGTGGTGGGATCTGCCGGGGCATCGCCAGAGCTCCTCCAAGACCTGCAAAAGACACGGTTGTGTTAAGAACGCCAGAAATCGATTGAAGCTAACGGACGGAAGCAGCAGCCAAGCCTTCCCCAAGACCTGCAAAGCACCTAGGATGTAAACAGAGCGGTCACGCCAACACACATAAAAGTAAGCTGACGGAAACCACAATCGACAGAAGACAACGCACGGACAACAGAACGAACATCGCCGCAACAGCTGTAGCAGAAACGTGAGCCACCAAGCATCGCGACCTACGATAACTCTACGGACAACGCACCGTCGCCGGACAACGACCGCCGTACGACGAGCATCGTCAGCCGTATCAGCCGCCGAGCGAAGGACTGCAGCGTCAGCGACCTACTGACACAGCGAGCGATCATGCGAGCCATCATACTATTGTAAGTCCGAAAAGGACCCCGCACCATTCTTATGGGAAAATGTCTTTCTGCGGATTTGACAAATTTTTGGATATGTTGTAGTTCTCGTCTCTGAACAAATGTCTCAATAGGCACAACTTGATCCTATGAGCCGTTTCCGCGCTATAAACCCTGGAAGGTCGAGTTTTAACATGTAAAAGTATAAGCTTTTCGACTCGATATATGTGACCTTTGGTCGAATGTATGTGCGTGCGTGCGCGCGTGTGTGTGTAGAATTGCGTAGGTTAATATATGCGAAAAAAATATAATGTATGTTTTGTCATGCATAATATTTTTATATATGTCGGATGTCGCACAGTCTGTGCCAAATACCAACAAATACTCTTGAGAATATGAACATGGCTACCATATGTTCATACATATCATATTAGATAATATCATATCTGCTATATATTATATAATCCTATCTTTATACATGTTGAATTGTATGCCTTTTAGTATCTGTGCATATCAAATCCAAATACACACTGTCTAGCTGCTTAGTTGCATACGAATATATAAATGTAGTATCAAAGAATATATGTATATTAAACTTATACATACACATTATATGTCCACTTTTATAATTGACATACATTAAAAATTCACATACACTGGACTGTACCACGTACATCCATTGGTTTTATACGGCTTTTAACAATGATTGGCACCAATGCAGTCAAGAGTTGAAGAAGAAAAATCTATCCTTCTTCATTCCGTTCTCCAACTTCCCGTCACTCATAGTAAAAAAATTAATTTTTAAAAATTTAGTTTGTACCTCAAAATATTGGTTTTCAAGCAATAACGAGAGACGAATTCGTTGAAAGACACGTTAATGATTTTGCTAATGGCCTGTACAATCCACAACCCAATGAACCCAGTAATTGTATACATTTATGGCACCTATGCTTACGTACACAAAAGCAGTAACTTCCGTACCTTAAGGCAATCTTACTGTCGTCATAAAGGTCGCCATTTAATTAAACCTGCTCTTATTGTGGCTCCGGATGGCTACATACTGACAATACAAGGTCCATATTTTTTCGATTCAAGTAATAATGATGCAGAGATGTTCCGAAATGAGTATTCCAGAGATGGCGATGTGATGAGAGCATGGTTTCAAAATGGAGACATTCTTGTAGTTGATCGCGGATACCGAGATGCTATACCTATGCTCGAAGCGTTGGGAATTTACGTGAAAATGCCATCTATTCTCGAGCCTGGACAACGTCAATTTTCCACTGAACAAGCGAACGAGTCACGTTTAGTTACCAAAACTAGATGGATAATTGAAGCTAGAAACGGCCATATTAAAAACATCTTCAAGTTCTTTGCACAAACCGTTATGGCGCATGTCACGAATCTCGGTGATTTCTTCCGCATAGCAAGAACAATTATAAATAGGTATCACCCATTGATACACATGGAAGGTGCTAATCTTCAACTAGTCCAACAATTATTAGCTAGATCCCAGGAGCCAAACGTTGTACAGGCTCAAGTAGAAGTGGAAAATCTTCGTATGAGAAATGCAAGATGGATTCGCTTGAATCACAACCAGGT